AATGTGGCTAAAAGCTGCTGTGAGCTAGTGAGAGGAAGAAGTGAATTCACCTCTCCAAGGAGACTCATGTGCTGATGACCCTTCACAATGGGATTGCAGCCTGCAAGTGCTGTTAACCAAATGCTTCCAGTGGCAAAACAGAGGCATCAAATGATTTACTCTTTATTATTTCTCTTTAACTACCTAGAAAGCTGTGAAAACAAGAAAAGGGTCTAGCTGCTCCTTCTTGGCCAAGGATAAGTAAGTCTTTGCAGGTCATCCACTTAAGCCAATAGACCAGACTGTGTGAGTTCTCAAATGGACCAAGGACAGGGAGAATGGAACAGCCGGGGTATTCTGTGCTTTCCATGTGGCTTCCTCCCTTCACTTACTTGGTTCCTCTATTCTAAAGCATAAGTAGTTAAAAAAGAAGTAACTCAAGAAGCAGACGACCCCTTAAAAAGGTCTTGGAATTTGCTCCTTCAAGCCATGCATAGTTAAAGTCAGTTTGGTTGAGCGCCTCCTATGTTATATTTACAAGTTGGGGATCATAGTGTAAAGGTTAAGGCTACAGCCCCAGGAACCAGTTAATGCAGTAGTTCAAGGTACACCTGTCTCATAGATGGTCCACAATATGTATGAGCTTTCATAGTGTCGTTAGTAGCTGTTGGTACGTGCTGGGTACTGGATACAAGGTGTAGGAAATGGGAAGGTTTCTGCTTTCGTGGTCAAGCAAATAAAACCTCCATACATGAATGAAAAATTTTAAAACAGTGTAGTTGAGAAAACTGTGGCTAGGAGAATAAAATATGCTCCAATATTCTGGACTGTTCTTCTCTTGAATACATTCCACCACATTTCCCAAGCCTGGGTTACAATAAATGGGGAAAACATAGGACGTTGTGTTAGGGATGCTGTTTTAGGAGATTTGTTTGTTTCATAATTTCCAAAAAAATAAGGGCCGCCTCTAAAATGCTTACTTAGAGGTACTCATTTCAGTTGGACCCCTTCATTTAATAAATGTTTTCTCTTTTTGTAGATAAATAATTATTCAAAAAATTAACAATTTTTACTGTATGATTTTTGGCATATGAGTGGAAAGAATCACATTTACCTACCATGACATCAAACCGGTCTTAGCTTTCCATTTCAGGATTTGTGGATCTGAGAACTAAAATGATAACAGATGAAACACCCAGGATAGCCCGTAAATTATTTTCATAAGCATCCACCCAAAAAAGCATAAAGTTTTTTTTAATTGAAAAAATACAACAAGAGAATGAATCGTGGCTTTTTTTTATGTTGTTGTTTTGCTGTATTCTCTCCATGCTAGCATGGATTTTTCATTTTACACATTTTGGAAAGTTTAAAGTTATATGTGTGTATGGTCGGGAGTGGGGGAAGGACTTTGGGTGGAAACACTTGGAATTCTATTGAGTCACATTTTCCTGGAGTTATTTGCTCCTTAAAACAAGCCAATACCATCATTTATAATCATAACCCTGAAGGCATCCGTAGTTGCCTAAATGTATAAACAACATGAAATGTATAATTTGCAGGATCTTTAGCCGAGTACTTTAAAAATCTGAAATGCTTTGGGGGAAGACATACAAGCAGTGGACAAAAATAACAAAAGAAAAGCATGTGTCAGGCTGTCTAGTGATGTCTATTAAAGTTCTGTGTGTGGTTGTGCTTGGAATTCTAAAGGACAAGATAAATGTAATGGTGGAATCACAGAATTCTAAAGCTGGAATGAATTTGAAATGTGTCTTACCTCGCAGAAGTAAGGCTAAAATAAAATGGGGTCTGAGGTTGCTCAGCTAGCAGATGCAGGACACAGGATACACAGCCATGCTTCCCAAGAGCTGGTCCAAAGCTCCTTCCAACACGCCTTTTATGTCAGTCATTATTAATGTATCATGTACAATTCCCTCACATGTATATACACAACCAAGTAATTTTCCAAACATGGTGATAGAAGATGAGACCTGACCGTTACCTTAAGGCTAGGTCAACATGTTTAAAGTTGGGAGGAGCTATTTAGCCATTACTTAAGTCATTTGCTTAACGCCCAGAGTACAGATCTTTCAGATTCTAAAATGCCCTGCTGTGCGGACAAGGAAACGATTTGATGGTATATTGGGCTTATATGAAAATGGCACTGTGGAACCCTTCCCTTCCTTCTTGCTAGATTTGCATGGGAGCGGAGGCCAGAGAATTGTTAGGAAAGAAAATTGCTGAGAATAAATCAAATCGCCAGTCTTTTGAGGAAAACAATCAATTAGGTCGTGTGTCATCAACCCCATGAGGCAAGGGCAGGGTTGTTCTTCCTGAGTTGGACCTGAATGTTGTATTTTATTCCAAAATTGCTTTGCAATGGCATCAACTGCGGCACCCACCTCCATTCTCCTGCCCCTGTCTACCACATAATAGCCTATTATGAAGGCTTTGCTGAAGGCGGAAATTAACCTTTTGGAGAAATTTCATTCCATTAAGCCTAGTTACATGAATCCAGACTGATTTTCTTTATGATGGGAAGGTTTTCTTTCTTTTAGCCAGTATTTAAGTACTCAGAAAAAGTGTTCTGGGCTTTACTGACTATGAGAGCCTTCCTGGTGGAAATAGAATTGTTAGTTATGGTCTCCATGGTGATTTCTTTTTAAGGCCAAGTTTGAATCAATCTTCTAAATATCGAGGCATAATTTGTGAATGCAATTGATTGAATAATAATAGAATTATCAACAATACAGCGATACCTTTAATGCTGGTGTTTGAGACTTTCCACAGACAAGTTCATAGCTAGCCTTCAAAGTGGTCCCTACCCATGACCTTAAGAGCCTCCTTTCGTTGGTCATAATGTTCTAGCTGCCGGCCTGTTTTCTTTCACTCCATCCACTTTCTGGGTATCTCATTCCTTTACAGAGCAGCTCCATGCCACCCACAGCTGAGCTCTTTCTTTAATCTTGTCTCCTTGTAATCCCTGGTATTTTATTCAATTCAGATAACAATGCCCTCAGAACTGCTGCAGTGGAAAGAACTCCAGTTAGGATGTTAGGAGATCTCGATTGGAGTTTTAACTGCCAAAAGCAAGCCCAGTGGCCTCATTTCAGTTTCCCGATCTCTCAGTTTCCCCATCTGAAAGCTGAGAAAATTGAGCAAGCTCATGTCCAATGTCCTTCCTCTAGAGAGCCTAGGATGAATCTCAGTTATAGAAACAAAATAAGACAGTCACCAGACAGCACTTTTTTCCTGCCCTACATTTCCAACAACAGAGTGTTTTCATCCATTATCTTTTTCAAACCTGTGTTCTAAGGTCAGAATTATGAAATGTGGCTAAAAGCTGCTGTGAGCTAGTGAGAGGAAGAAGTGAATTCACCTCTCCAAGGAGACTCATGTGCTGATGACCCTTCACAATGGGATTGCAGCCTGCGAGTGCTGTTAACCAAATGCTTCCAGTGGCAAAACAGAGGCATCAAATGATTTACTCTTTATTATTTCTCTTTAACTACCTAGAACGCTGTGAAAACAAGAAAAGGGTCTAGCTGCTCCTTCTTGGCTAAGGATAAGTAAGTCTTTGCAGGTCATCTACTTAAGCCAATAGACCAGACTGTGTGAGTTCTCAAATGGACCAAGGACAGGGAGAATGGAACAGCCGGGGTATTCTGTGCCTTCCATGCGGCTTCCTCCCTTCACTTACTTAGTTCCTCTATTCTAAAGCATAAGTAGTTAAAAAAGAAGTAACTCAAGAAGCAGACGACCCCTTAAAAAGGTCTTGGAATTTGCTCCTTCAAGCCATGCATAGTTAAAGTCAGTTTGGTTGAGCGCCTCCTATGTTATATTTACAAGTTGGGGATCATAGTGTAAAGGTTAAGGCTACAGCCCCAGGAACCAGTTAATGCAGTAGTTCAAGGTACACCTGTCTCATAGATGGTCCACAATATGTATGAGCTTTCATAGTGTCGTTAGTAGCTGTTGGTACGTGCTGGGTACTGGATACAAGGTGTAGGAAATGGGAAGGTTTCTGCTTTCGTGGTCAAGCAAATAAAACCTCCATACATGAATGAAAAATTTTAAAACAGTGTAGTTGAGAAAACTGTGGCTAGGAGAATAAAATATGCTCCAATATTCTGGACTGTTCTTCTCTTGAATACATTCCACCACATTTCCCAAGCCTGGGTTACAATAAATGGGGAAAACATAGGGAAATGTAAAAGGCATAAGATAAATTTACGCTGTGGTCTGGGTCACATGGGTCTGGCCCTGTTTCGTAATCCCCCAGGCTGCAAAAGATTTCTTTCGATTACGGGCGTGACAGTGACCTCAGCTGGTTTTTCCCCACACTTCTGAATCTTCCCACTCTCCGGACCCCCCCATCCCATCCTCTTGTCCCTGGAGGCCCCTCCTCGTGTCTTCTGTGACACCCAAGATCCTTAGAGAGTGTGTTTTACACATTACTGGGCTGAGACAGTCCCCCTAGTGCTGTGCGCTACCTGCGACATTGAAATGACTGTATGCGGAATCCATTGGTTATGCTGTACGGTGGCACATCCTCTCCGAGAAAGGGGTGGCCCAGGAGAAGCCAGCAAAGGCAGGGCAAGTTCTTGGCCTGAAGGCTGGCCTACTGATGGGAGAAGTTTCCCGGCCGCCACCCTGATGGTGCTAACAGAGAACGGAGCTCCTCGGGGTCACACTGGGCGGCAGCCCCTGACTTCTTTCCTCTCAGAACTCCCCGCAGCCACCCCACCCCAGAAGGGTGGCACAGAGGTCTCTAACAGGACTCCTTTCTCAGTTTCCCATGCTCCAGGAACACCGTGCAAGGACAGCGTTTACAGAAACATAAACAGCCTGTTGGTGTTTACCTGACATCAGGTCTGACTAAAAATGAAATCTTGTTCCTGTCATACCGTGAGATTGCAGACACAGCCACACAGAGGCTGCACAGCAAGGAACTCAAGGCGACGGCTTTTATGTGGGTTTTAAAGGGCAGTTATGATTAGAAATGTGACTGTAAAAAAGGCATTTCAATGTTCCAGATTTATTCTCCCCGGTGACTTCCATGTCACGTTCACTTAGTTTACAAACATAAACAAAAGAATTCCGACTGAGTGACGGGAAGCCCAGAAAGAGTCTTGGATAAAGCAGCATCAAGTTCTGGCCTTTGAGCACATGGAGACCTGGCCACCAGCTGGGAAGGTGGCGCGCAGTGAGGGCAGCAGGTGCTGGGGGTAACACACGGGACGGTCTGACAGGGGGCTCGGAGCAGGTGCCCCACCTCTGGCTCTGTTCTGCTGATCAGTCCACAGCACCTCAGCCATGCTCGCTGCTGCCCAGCTCTGTAACAAATGCTGTGGAAAAGACAACATGGTAATTTCCAACCTGTAGACAGAACCAGTTGTGTAAAAAAATAAAAAGCAAAGTACTCGCCATGTGCCCTGAACTGTATCAGGCTGTGGGAGTGCTAGACATCCTCATTCTCGCGGCACGCTGGCCACCTTCTGGTGCATTCGGACAAGTCCTCTGCTCTAGATGTCCTAGGTCAGGGCATATAAAAGCAGACCCCGGCTCTGGGGGAGATTAACAGACCCACAGGGAAGGCTGGGCTTCTCTTCCTGCCTGGGTTTCATTTTTCTGGGTAACTGCACTAAAACACACCAAGCCAAAATGAAAAAACCGTTTTCCGTTGCGTCTTGGGACCTGAGGGGCGTGAGTCCTTTTTGTGCAAAAGAGAGCCGGCAGTGTCTTGCTATAAAGAGCATGTTCCCGGGACCATCCCTCAAGCCTCTCGCCTTCCACCCTGCCCTGGTTTCTTGACACTTGTGACCCTTGACACATGCTTCTGTTTGGATCGCTGTGTATCCTGTCTACAAACTTCTCTGTCTCCTCAAACCCCATAGGATGTCTCCCGGCAGATCCGCTTTCTTAAGGCTTTGGGTGACTATTTCTCTTCCCCATGAGTGCCATGTTCCCTGAGCTTTCACAGGTCACTTGAATGGGAAACAAACCAAAGCCCACAATAAGGAAAAAAGCCTGCCCAGCACACTGGTCATTCGGGCTGAATCCTAACGGCCGTGGGGAGAAAGCCGAGTGCAGTGTTTCTTTGTGGAGGACTCTGGCATGGGTCTTTCTTGTTTTGAAATGCCTTTTCTTTTAAACGGTACTTAGCCTTTCAGCTCCTTAACGTACTGGTCTATAAAGTGGGGATGATAATAGTATAGACCTTGTAGGATTGCTGTTTGAGCTGAGATGATTTATCAGAGCATTTAGAATGGGGTCTGATACACAGTAAATATCCAAGAAACCTAATGTATTTGAATGGTGAAGACATCATTTTACCAACAAATATTTATCCAGTATTTTTTGTACTTAAAAACAATATACTTATCCTGGGCGCCTGGGCTACACTGCTGACCTTGAGGCTTTGGTCCCTTCCTTTAGGGATCTTACAGTATAAGAGAAAGTCAGTAGATAAGCCCCACTCACTGGTGTCACAAATGCTATGGTATGTGGTTAAAAAACAAGGTGCTAGATAACATTTAACCTACCTGCAAGGAAGACCAGGAAACATACAGAATCCCAAGGTATATTTGAAGAGTACAGACTCTCTTTGTCACCTTATGTCCATTTGGTCACTAAATATCCTGAAGCCTCCTCCTCCCAGGTGTGGAATATATTTACCCCACCAAGGGAGGAAATGTAAAGTTCAACCCAGTCAATGCATTGCATTGTTTGATCCACTCCAAAGGAAGAAATGACATAGTAATTTGAATAGAGAAACTTCAATATAAAAAAACTACTAACTGTAATAGGAGATTGGCGTAGTAAGGGATTGCCTAGTTAGAAGTCAAGAGAGCCCTAAAGAATACAGGACAGGAGCTATCAGGGCAGTCACAGCTGTGGGGTGGAGATAACACATGCAGGAAAGAACTTTTTGTAGTGTCTTTTCCCAGCCCCCAAAGCCAGGGGCTGAGATCCATCCTTGTTGGGGATACCACGTGGAGCCTGGTGATGACACAGAAATCGTGGTGGTGCCATACTGGGAGACTCTGCTGGGAATCTACCCTCTGGAATTTGCTGGAAAACTGTCCTCTAGGAAACCTATTCTCAAAGAGGTGTCTCGTTGGAGGTGTTCTACTGCACAATGCTCACAGTGTCCCCCATGCACTGCAGGAATCTGATGGTGGTGCACCCGCATGCACACACACTCACAGGAGCGTGCCTGGGGATCACCCTGAGCAGGCAGCAAACCCCTTTTCCTCCTGAAATCTCTCTCTCCGGTGCTGTGGACTGCATCCGTTCACAGCTGCACATGCTGTCACAGTGATTCTGCTGGGGAAACTGAAGCTTTTCTCACACCGGATGGAGGAGAGTTCTAGATCAGGCCATGAGTGTGCTCTCTGGAAGGCTCATTTGTCCATTTCCTCCATATTCCCTGGCTCTGATCTGTAAAGGGCCCCTCTGAGGTCCTCAAAATAGATAAAGTTTCAGACAGTCAACGATGTTTTTGTATTCTAGACATTTTGTGGCTTAGATTATTCATTCCTTCAAAAAGTAGGATTCTAATTCATTTACTTTCACTCAGGTGTATGTACCCATAACCATGCCTGATATTGTAAGAGAGGTTTTAGAGCTATTATATTACTTTTCATGTTTGCCCTTACACCTCTCTCTCAACTTAATTAAAACTTCCTGAGGGCTGTCAGACTCAATCTCATCTTTTCCCTGAATCACTGTATCTTCCTGAGAGGTTATTCTGTCATTCAAGGTCTTCCCGTTCCTTCTCTTACTGTTGGGGCTCCAGAAACATCTAGCTTTTTCCAACCCTGCAAAGCCCCATGTTTTAGGGTTCTTTCTATTTCCTTCCAACTCATTTTTTCTACTCAACAGGATAATTCTTTCTTGAGCCCATCTCTTTCTTATAATACCTTCCTAAATCCAAAGTAGTAGCTAATATTTCACTAGTAACAACTGTTTTTTTTTTAACATTTATTTTTCCTAGCACTGCAGGCACATCTCCTGTTTCAACTGTTTTTATTATTAAACACGGACTATCTTTTCAGCCTTGAGCTCCAGGTTCTTCCTAGCCTACTGTGCAACCCCTTAACCATTGCCACATGCACTAGGTTTTTGTAACGTCAGTACACCATTTTTGGAACCAATATTCACTGTAGTCAGGATAATTAATGTTTGCAGTTGCAGTACATCAATCCTGCAATCTCAGTGGCTTAACAGAATAAAAGATTATTTCTCATTTAGTACAAGTCTGATATGGACTGGGCAGCCTTCTATCTTCAAGTAACGCTTCTGGAACCTACAACCTTCCAGATTGGCATGGCAAAGGGGGAGAGAAAAATGTGTCAGAAAGGGCTTCTCAAAATACACAGTGAGGGCAAACTAGTTGTAGAATGAAGGATCGGCATGTGCAGAGAACACAGCGTGCCACTCTGGAAATATACTGGGCTAAGAGAAGGAACTGACTCAACATCATTCTTGATTTAATGGAAATATATATCCTAAGATGTCATTAGACTGGACTTTCCTTTGCTCAGGAGTTTAGCAGTTTTGAGGCCATAGGGAATTCACGGGAAGACTGAAAGGCAAGGAGGCAGAGATACATTTACAATTTTCCAGGAACATGCATAACTTACGTATGCAGTTGGAATATTGTTAACACCTTAATTTTCAGGGATGAATTTATGTTTCCCATTACTTAGAAAATAGGTATTACTTATCTTTCATGTGGCAATTCCACTTTCAGGAGTTGTTCTAAGAGTGATAATCATAAAGCATTATGATAGGATGACAATATGATTTATTGATCAAACTGGAACGCTCTTGTGAGTGAAAGAGCATGCTATAAATAATTACATGGAGACACTTGTAAACTAGTTCTGTCCTGGCAGATAGGAAAGTATGGCATCATGAAGTTTTTATGTAAGTACCAGGAAGTGTGTCACACCACTATTTGCAGTGTACAATAAACAAGTAATAGTAATAAGTGGACAGGTATTCAAGTTCTCATATAAAATAGTGACAAAATAAACAGCTGATACAGTAATGTTATAAATAAAATATTTGATAGCATGGAAGGAGTTTCCAATATATCAGGATGTGGAATAAAAAAACAGTTTGAAAGTTTATTTTCATTCATAATGTGGGGGCAAAAATACTGAGACACTGCTAGTTTATTAGAATGGCTTAACTTGAATGGCAGAATGACTGAATGGTGTGTGTGTTGTGTGTGTGTATATATATACATACACACATACGTATGTGTATGTGTGTATATATATATGTATACATATAAGTGTATATGTATATACATATTTCTAGTTTTTACTTCTATTATCTAGCTTGATTCATTCTTACTCGTCAGCAGTCCAGGGAGTTTATATTTTTTAAAAAGTTACTATTGGATCTCACCAAGGTTTTTACAAGTGGATTCAGCTGAAGGGCAGCTCAGAGTCAAAGAATAATAATTTTCTCCAAATGTATAGCACTTTCACATTAAAGTGCTTTAGTGTGTGCATTATCTGGTTTGATCTACTCAACAGTAGACAGGTATTATAATTCTCATTTTACAGTTTCAGAATCAGAATTTCTGAAAGATTAACTTAATTGCCCAAAGTCAAATAGATATTTTGAGGTAAAGTTGAAATGATAACTCACGTCTCCCAACCGAGTTCACATTTCTTGCCAGGGTAGCATCTGAGGGTCCGCCTGGGTCACTAGTAGCGGAAGTAAGTTTCATGACGGTGAAGGACTGCTATCCGGCTAGAAGGGGTCTCTGGAAAATCATTTTGAAATTTTGTATGTAGATGCGATGTGCTTAGCCAACTTGTTCTCACCTAATCACCAAAAAATTAAAACACTGAACTAAAAATAAAAAAATTTAAACCTCATTCCCATGATCTGAAGACTTCACCGAATTTTCAGGGTGTAGAGCATTTAGAATTTTCTTTTTCTTCATTGTAGAATTTACTGCAATGTTAGTTTTTATAGTTTAAAGCTTTTGCTTAGCTTCATCTTTCCATAAATTAATAAATGAGACCATAAGCCCTCTGTTAATTTATTTATAGATTTGTTATCATTACTAATGTTGATGTAACTTGGAGGATGCTAATTTAAAAAAGCTAAAAAAAATTGGGTGAGGGGAGTTAAACATTAATTCAACCTTGGCATGTCCTCTGTTTATGTCTCAAAACAAAGTGACATCTTCTCATCTGGGCTTTAAATTCTTTCGGGAACTGAAGGAGGCGAGCAATACTCTCTGCCAGTGTTCAGTATAGCCAGGGAATACTGAATTGATCGGAAAGAAGCCCAAAGATTTTCCATTGCTGTTTCTTAGGAAATTAAATGCTAAATATGGGAAGGGTGATGGGAAAGAGTTATGGGGTAAGTCCCTAATATATGTTTCCATTTGCTTTTTCTAATTTGCAGAAAGCTGCCTGGCTCCTATTGACTATGCATATTTGGTTTAAACAGCTACTTAATTTCATATTTTAATAATTGCTTTGAATGATCATAGAATTAAGGAAAGTTACTCACATCTACATAATTTCTAGTCCTGAAACTGACAGCATTATCTTGTAGAACTGGCCTTAATTTATATTGTTGACACTTAGTATTTAGTATTCTTTAAAAATGTACATCAAATATTCCACAAATTATATTCAGTAGATTTTGCCAGATATTTCATAATTTATGTTGTTCTGAGACTCAATCATTTACAGGTAAGTTGCATAAATTTAAAATGGTTATCTGACCATGTATTTATGTGGGAAGGAAAAGGACTTGATGAGCTAATTCCAGGGAAGTATTTTTTTTATTGGTTTATATTACATTTTTTGGTATTTTATTATAATTTCATTTTCAGAGACTAAACAAATAAAATTAGATTTTGTTTTATAACGCTGAAGGAAAGAAATATGAGTTCAATAGTAAGAAAACAATGGACATTGAGAATCACAGTTCAAATCCTAACTTCACCATTTAGCAGGTGAATGAGAGGACAAGTTACATTTCTTATATTTCTCATCTTATTTCCTCATTTTAAAAATACTTAATTTGTGAAATTGTGATGATTATACAAAATGATATATATGGAATATCTGAAAAAAACAAAGGTATGTGTTTTCCTCACTTACATTTTTATGTTAAAACTATAGTATTAGATCTACTATACCTGATGATAATAGACTTTCAGGTAAACATGTAATTATCTAATTTGTCTTACTTTTTTTTTCTTTATAACCACATATATTATTTTTCCCCATTAACATGATGTTAATTTATCAAAAGATAAAGGACTTTCAGTGTGTAACTAAACTAAAACCCCTATAACTCCGGGGAAAATATGTTCCCAGCCTGGGGGCAAATAACCTTTGAAGCTGAAATCAGTCAAAGGGAGAAATAAGATGGGAGAAACCCATTATAAAATATCACTTGTATTCCTATATATTAGTAACAAATGAAAAGGAAATGGAATGTTATAATGATAACTTTTATGATGAAATACATTAGCAAGAAAATAACCCAGAGTGACAGAAACAAGAAGAAAACTCAGAATTGTGGAATAAACCCCTCAAGGTGAGAAAATGGGAGGGTGATTTGGATCAAATAAGACCAGATAGACACCCATGGGATATGCTGTATTTCATTCAAGTTAAAATTTAAACACAGTTTAAAATAAAAATGTCAACTTATCAGAGTCAAGAAAATAGATCTAAGAATAGTAATATCAGAAAGAAAGATGAATGAACACTGTGAAAAATAGGTTGAAACCCACAAAAGTAGACCTTAATGTCACTCATAAAGTGTATCTTTTCTTTGACTGCTATCTTGGCACATTTAGGATTCCATTTCCGAGTCACTTTATGCATGGATTGGATCACATGTTTAGTTCTGCCCAATGAATAGTAAGTGGATGTGATGAGTATTTCCCCTAAAGCAAAGATCTAATTCCCAGGATATTCTTTTCTCTTTGGATGGTAACAGAACCCTTAGCTTAGGTCCCAAATAATTACAATGAACAGAACCCCTATAACTCCAGGGAAAATATGTTCCCAGCTTGGGGCAAATAACCTTTGAAGCTGAAAGCAGTCAAAGGGAGAAATAAGATGGGAGAAATCCATTATAAAACATCACTTGTATTCCTATATATCAGTAACAAATAAAAAGGAAATGGAATGTTATAATGATAACTTTTATGATAGAATCAAAACATCAAATACCTAGTAATAATTCTAATGAAAAGAGCTCAAGACTCCTACTCTGAAACCACAAAGTATTATTGAAAACACTGAAAGAGGACTAAATAAATGGAATCCTATATTTATGGATTGGAATAGTTGCCATTGTACAGATACCAAATCTCCCCAAATTAACCAATACATTTTCAATCATAGAATAAAAGAGTTTTGTTTTTTTTTTGGTGGTGGGCAAGTTTACATATTGATTCTAGAATTCATATCGAAATTAAAAGGGACAAGAATCTGCAAAACAGTCTTGAAGAAGAACAGAGCTGGAGAAATTGCAAAACCAGGAAGCAAGACTTATAATACTGTGGAAGTGAATATAGAGTTTTTGGAATTAGACTGACGTAACAGAATAGAGAGATCATAGTCATAGATTCAACTGATATGAGACAAAAATGACAGTATAGTATAATACGGAGAGGATGATAATTTTAGTAAATGATGCTGAGTTAACTGACATCCACAGATAAAAAATGTTGACCTTTATCTGACATTAAGCACCAACATCAATCCCAAGTATATTTTGGATTTAATGTGAAAGGCAAAACAATAAAGCTTTTAAAAGAAATCATAATAGAATCAATTAGTGGCCTTGAAGTAGGACAGAAAAGCAGTAACCAAAAAGGAAAAGTATTAATAAATTAAACTCATTTAAAATTAAGAAATTGTATTTTATTAGAAGAAATCATTCAAGAGTGAAAAGGAAAATCAGAGTAGAAGGCATTTGCTTTAGAAAAATCAAACAAAGGATCCAGACAGAATACTGAAAAAGGAACTTCAAATAATTAATATCAGGAAATATCACTAATTCAATTACAATTGGACAAAAGGCTTGAACAGACAACAAATGAGGAAAAATCAAAATAGTCAGTGAACATAGGGAAATGTACTCAACATCATTAATTATCTGGGAAATGTAAATAAAAACCACAGTGTAATAGCACTACATAGCCCCTCAAGAAATAAAAAAGAAACATTCCTACAATCAAGCAGGATTGAGAGCCCAATGAGGTAAATGAGTCATCAAAGGTGCAATGTTTAAGAAGGTGCTTACTTTTAAACTTGATCAAGTTTAGAGTCCTACACAACTCTGAAAGTAAGTCCCTCCTTAAATTTTGTGATCTAGCTATATAAATCTTAATGAGAATCCCTCTCAAGTTCATGCAAGAGACCACAGAACAGAACTCAAGGAAAGTGGGCACTTTCTTACATTTTCTCCCAAGAGAAATTTTAACACCTAAATTTTCACCCCATTCATGACTCTGGTGTTGAAAATTCGTGGGGACAGAAGCTAGTGGAAATACTAATTGACACAACCACCTTGATATATTTTTTGTCATATTTGCTAAGGATACATATCCATCTACCCAAAGATACAGCTATTCTACTCTTTGCTAATATACTCAAGACAAATTAATACATACCTTCCTCAAATGTCACGTCTGAGAATGCTCATGAGAGCAAATTCCTAATAGCCCCTCTCTCCAAAAAAATTCCAGTGTAAATCAAAAGAAGAATATGTAAATGCATTTTCGTATAATAATTCAAAGGACTAGTGCACAGCAATGAAAGTGAACAAAGTGCAAATGCACATGTACAATTTCACAAACATAAGATCATACTAATTGATATTTAATAATTTTAAGAGAAGGCACAACTTATCAATGGAATTACAAGTCAGATAAGTGTTTACTTTGGAAAGAGGAGTTACTGAGAAAAGACACGAAGAGGAACTTCTGGAATGCCAATGATGTCGTTCTTCCTGATCTGAAAATTGTGAAAATTGTGAAAATTTACTCAGCTATGCACTTATTACTTGGGAAAGTTTTGTCTCTTGCTCCTTGTGGGTCTATCAGTTTGGGTTCTTATATTTTGAAACTCTGTTATTTGGTGCATAAAGTTTAGGGCTGGTATGCCCTTTCATCATTATGGAATGGCCCTCTTTATCTATGGTAACATTCACTCAGAAATCTACTTTGCCTGATATATTAATCCTGTTTTTATCAGGCAATCCTGTTTTTTTTTTTGATAAGTGTTATCGTGATATATCTTTTCCCATCAGTTTCTTTTAACCTATTTGCTTCTTTGTATTTAAAGTTTGTTTCTTGCAGGCAGCATATAGTAGGGTCTTGATATGTTATCCTATCTAACAGTCTTTGCTTTTTTATTGAGTGTTTAGATGATTTACACTTAATGGGATTACTGATAGGTTGTGTTTTAAACTACCATCTTGTTATTTTTTTCTATTTCTCATTGTTTATACCACTTTTCCTTTTTCTGGCTTTTTTGGGATTATTTAATATTTTTTATGTTCTTAATATCTGCTTTTTTTCTTAGTTAATTATGTCTAATATCAACTTATAACTTATTAGGGTTATACTTGAGTGTTAGTTTAAGGTTTACACACCTTTACTTTTAGATCTTTAACTTATCAGCATTTAGACTACTATATAGCTTCTCAAATAGTAGAAGAATCTTACAGAAACATGCTTTCCTTTCTCCTCTACTGATCTTTATGTTATTGCTCTCA